AGGTGTTAGCAGGCCCAATGTATTGCTCACATCTCTCTGTCCTGTGTTCTTTCTGTAGTCTCTGTGCGGACAGCAGGCCGTCTGAATGTTCTGATTTGATATCTGTGAAGTGCTGACTGTGATTTCCTACTGCAGCTCTCTGATATGTTCTCAGCTTTCATCAAGCTGGTTCTCCTTTGTCACTCCCCCCCCTTTGTTTTAAGTTTTCCCAGGAAGTCACAGGGAAGTGTCGTCAGATGGTAACTGTTGTTGAAAAAGAGGAATTATGACACTAATCTGTTTGTGTGTCCTCTCTGTTGTTTCCCTTGCAGGTGAAGGAACGTGCAGACAGGCTGTCTCACACTAAACTATGGAATGCTTCCTGCACCCACCATCACTAGTCTCCAATCTTTGGACTGAGATCCAAACGTTCAGTTAGCAACTGTGCTTCTCCCCTTGAACTCTTTACAACCAGGGGACGAAGAATAGGAGTGGGCTTTCAAAGTCCTCTGCTACAACGTACAGAGGCACTTCTGTTTTTTGATTGTTAAAACTAGTTTTTTGTTTTGTTTTTGTTTTTCTCCTCTTGGATTTTTTTCCTGGTGAACTCGTATCAAGATGGATATGGAACCTTACCTGTGGATGGTGGTCATTGGCTTCATCGTTGCCTTCATCTTGGCCTTTTCAGTAGGCGCCAATGATGTGGCCAATTCATTTGGCACAGCAGTGGGGTCTGGTGTGGTCACACTGAAGCAGGCCTGTATCCTGGCCTCTATCTTCGAGACGCTGGGCTCAGTGCTGCTGGGGGCAAAAGTGGGTGAGACGATTCGGAAGGGCATCATAGATGTCAGCCTGTACAATGACACGGTTCCTGTGCTCATGGCAGGGGAGGTCAGCGCCATGGTCGGTAAGTTTCACCAGCCTTTACATCCAGGGAGTGTCCGGAGCAGTCTGGCCTTATTAGGTCAGGTCTAGTAACACTGTCGTAACATGTCTCCGCACAAGTCTAAATTAAACTGCGGCTCCTTCTGTCATGTCTGACTGAAGGAACATTAACATCAAAGTCATCTATGTCTGAATGACAAGATGACTTCACTCTAACGGGTGGATTGAAATATAAGGCTGCATATTCCTGGACAGATGAGGGCATTCTGAGAGATGGATGGGGAAAATCCATTAGTTCTGAAACAATTACATGATTAATGGATGGCAGAAAAAAAATCTGAGTTTGAAAAGGGATTGCTTATTGCTTAAGTCATGTTTTTTTTTTATTTTCGAGGAAAAGTGCTTAACACAGGTTTATGTTCTTTAATGTCAGATTTTGCTACATTGTTCCGTTATATCTTTAGGTTTTGGCCAGTTAAAATGCGTCATTTCACTATATTACTGTGAGCCCTATTGGACATTTTGCTCTATTTTATGACTTGTTCTAGGCTAAACACATTAATATGCTAATGAAAATCATTAGTTGCAGCCCTAAAAAGAGAAAACTCTTATTATCTACAGTTTAGAGGTGAAAGGTTTGGAAATGTCTAAGTTACAAAAAGGGAAAACTTACCTTCAGAGTTACTTACAGCCCATGGTGACATCTGGCAGTTGCTCAGTTTGTCTAAAATTGAAACAATTCAAGCAGAGGAAGGCACAGTCATCACATTTGGCATCTTACTTAATAAATGACATCTTCACTGCTTAAGACTGTGCATGTTCCTCTATTTCATTTAACATTCATAAGGAGCAGGCTCTACTATTCCCTCTGCTATTTGTGTTTATTAGTATTTGGGAAAAGGTGTGTTGCTTCATGTAAACAGAGATGCATATTTTGGAATTTGCTTCAGCTATAGTATGTAACTTAACCGTAGCATGAAACTCCAAACCAACCCCCTCTGCTATGCCCAGCGCTCCCCGTCCCTCCCTGCTCCACTAGGCTCTACTACGATCTGCTACGCTCCACCACACTCCACCCAGCTCTTCAGATAATTGTCAAAACCTTTTAGAAGCTAATATCTCTGCACTGCTGCCAGTGCTGTTCAATCTGGGTCACAGGAGACTTTGACAGCACCTCTCCACATCAAGACAAGTTTTGGAGCTTATTTCTACAACAAAAATATTGGAAAAAAGTTGCATACTGTAGCTTTAAATGAGGGCAGACATCACATCAGACTTCTCCGGTATATGTAACATGCACAGACATCGTGTAAGATTTCTGTTGCGGCTTGACCTGGGATGGGTGTTTGTACTCACACTGCCCTCTGTGTGTCCGTGGACCTGGCAGAGTGAAAGAAGGCTTCACACTAAGCTTACACCAAATTGTAAAACACTTCTGCAGCTCTTCATCTAAAAGTGTACGGCTAAACTACAGAGTTATATAACTGTACGGTGCCATTGTTTTTAGAGCCACTTTTCTTTGTTGTCTTTCTGAAAACTACAAAAATGTCTTTGTTCAGATATATATTAAGGTTTAGTAATGTTAACTAACCTTGCAGCATTGTAATCAAATTGACTCACAGAATCCACTTAGCTTTGTCCTGTAATTACATTTTTACAGTGTAGGACAAGCACAAATAGTTTGATTTGATTTATTTATTCTTTCAAGCATGTAAAGACAGTTGATATGTCAACACACATAATTTTACACATATCCAACAAATGCTAATCCAATATCAATTTGCTTATACCTAGTACCTGCTTGAATGGAGTAGGAAGAAGTCAGACTTATCCAGTCCTACCCCATGACATCATCTTACCATCATTGGTTTGCAAGCAGTAAATAATTCTCTTCTACACCACACAAGTAATATACTAAAGAATTATTACAGTGTTAACATTCATACACCACGCCCACAATGTTCCATCTAATTAATCATTAAGCCTGTTCTTGCATATATCTTGATTGACACATACCTTTATATTTATGTTTAAACTCGTCAATTCTATTACTATTTTTTATGTCCACACTTAAATTATTCCATAGTTTTACCCCACTTATGGAAATACAAAATCTTTTTTTGGTTGTACGTATAGCATGAATTTTTAAATTTAACTGACCCCTTAAATTATATCCCCCTTCCCTTTCATTAAATAGTTTTTGAATTCCACCAGGTAATAAATTGTTCCTGGCTTTATACATAAACACAGCAGTCTTATATCTTATAGCAGTCTTATATCAGTCTTATATATACTAAATCGAAAAATTTTAACAATTTAGACTGTATGAAAGCT